ATACAGAGTGAAAATCTTATTTTATTTTTGTGGGTCCTGGGGCTTGAACTCAGGGCCTGGGTTCTGTCCCCAAGCTTCTTCTGCTCAAGGCTAGCACTCTACCACTTGAGCCACAGCACCACTTCGAGTTTTTCTGGGTAGGTTTTTGGAGATGAGAGTCTCACAGACTTTCCTGCCCTGGCTGGCTTCAAAACCACAATCCTCAGATTTCAGCCTCCTGAGGAGCTAGAATTACAGGTGTGAGCCACTGGTGCCTGGTTGAGAATGAAACTTGATTGCAGTGTTGGGGTAGATTGATCTGGCCATGTACATTGTATAGGATGCAATGGATGGGAAGAGTTGGAGATAAGACCAGTTAGGAAACTATGACAATCACACAGGGAGAAGGTGACAAAAGCCAGTATTAAGCTGGCCACCAGTGGTTCACACCTGCAATCCTAGCTACTCAGGAGGCTGAGATCTGAAAGTCAGAATTCAAAGCCAGCCTGAGCAGAAAAGTCCATGAGATTCTTACTTCCAATGAACTACCAAAAATAAAAGCCAGAAGTGGATATGTGGCTCAAGTGGTAGAGCACCAGCCATGAGCAAAAAAGCTAAGGGACAGTGCCCTGACCCTGAGTTCAAGCCCCAGTAACAGTATAAAAATATGATAAAATATTAATATATCAAGTAAAAGATAGCATTTAGATATGAGATTGCCACTAAGCAGACAATTGAAGGATGCAAATAGTATATATAAGGGAATGTGTTCAATCTCAGAGTAGCAAAGAAATGGAATTAACAAATGAATTTTTAACCATGCAAAAACATTTCTTATAACATCTGATGCTAGAGCATCAAGGGAACTGGAACACTAATATGTCATTGTGACACTGAAAATTTGTGCAGTCACTTTGAAAATCATATCCATAAAAATGAACATGGTCTTTGGTCTGTTAATCCTGGAAACTTGTTCTCAAGACAGAATTGTACAGAAGAAAAAGGCAATATGCATTAAGCTATTCAAAGCATAGAAAAACTGACTCGCCTAAATATCCAATAATAAGAAAATAGCCAAAGAAAATACAGTGTGATGATGGAAGTAACTTTATGTAGTTATTGTCATAATAAATAGGAAAGCCATATTAACTGAGAGTATTTACAATGAAAATTTTGAAGTAGAATTTTTTAAAAAAACAGAGGATGATGAATATTATGTGTACAAAAATAGCACAATGAACCCTATCAAAACCCGTTAAGAAGTAGAGAGGACTAATTTAAATAGGAAGAATTTTATCAAATTACATTATATATATATATATACATATATGTTATAAATAACACAATGAAATCCCTTGAAAACTTAATTTATGCTAGTAAAAAATCTTTCTGTGCCAGTATTAGGGCTTGAATTCAGTGCCTTGCCACTCTTACTAAGCTTTTTTCCCTTAAGACTGGCACTCTACAACTTGAGCCACACCTCCATGTCTGGCCTTGTGCTAGTTAATTGGAGATAAGAGTCTCACAGATTTTTCTGTCTGGGCTGGCTTCAAACTTCAATCTTCAGATCTCAGTCTCCTAAATAGCAAGGATGATAGGCAAGAGTCACCTGCGCCCAGTCAATTATTTTAGTGAACTAGAAAAAATTACATTATGATGGCATTTTTGTAATTTGTATGCAAACCGACAAAAGATAGAACATAGAAAATGAAAATAATTAACTAGGGTTTGAAATTATAGATGAATATTTTCTCTAAATTTTTCCTTTAATGTCACAGTGAGATTTTTCTCTTTATTGCATCAGGAATTGAACGCAGGACCTCATACATGACAGGCAGACATTTTTCCACTGAATTATGCCTGCAACCTTCAATGTTGTTTCTATGCAATAGTCAGATGAAGCAGAGAAGTCAGAGCATAAAGGCAGAGAAAGCTTCCAAAAGCCCCTGCTGAAGAGCTTAACCTGTATTCCCATGTAGGCGAGTAGGAAGGAAACCTGATTCAGAGTCAAGGATTGCTTTTTGTGGTAAGGAAATGGGGTTTATAATATTGTTTGTCAAAATTTGGCAGTGAAATGAATGAAGATGAATAGAATGGTACATAAAGGAGATACAGCAAAGTTAAGCTATTAGTGGTGATGTGTTATTTTCGCTTGCTTGCTTATTGTTCTGAAGACGGTATAAATTAGTAACAGACAAGACTAACAGTGGTAAAGAGGGGTAAATGAAGGAACATAAATGCACCTCCCTTTTTTAGGAACTGAAGGGAAATAAAATAAAAACAGATATGGAAACAGAGTGAACATGGCAGAGAGAAGTCCAAATATTAAATCTGCTCAGATTTGCAAGAGACTAGGAAACTCTTAGGTCACACAAATGGTATGGAGCTGAGGCTTTTGTTGTTGTTGTTTTTGGTCATGGGACTTGTCAGGGACTGGGCACTGTCCCTGAGCTTTTTCTGCTCAAGGTTAGTGCTCTTCCACTTTAGGCCACAGTGCCACTTCCAGTTTTCTGGTGGTTAACTGGAGATAGTTTCACACGCTTTCCTGTGTGGGCTGGCTTCAAAGCATGATCCTCAGATCTCAGCCTCCTGAGTAGCTAGGATTATAGGTGTGAGCCACCAGCACCCAGCAGAGCTGAGGTGTTGATATGGCAAAAAATACAAGAGAAAGCTGCTGAGTCAGACACCAATTATCCAGCAAAAAGCCAGAAGTGGAACCGTGGCTCAAGTAGTAGAGTGCCAACCCTGGAAAAAAAAAGTCAAGTGGTAGTACAGAGTCCCTGAATTCAAGCCCCAGAACCAGCACAAAATAAAAGGACAGAGAAGAAGGAAGGAAGGAAGGAAGAAAGGAAGGAAGGAAGGAAGGATGAAAACAAAGGAGAAGAAATGAGCAAGCTTCTAGAATGTTAGCTAGAAATGCAGCAGGCCAAGAACAAAGAGGAAATGCTTAATCCTAGTACCAGGATATAAGTATTGGTAGGTCAAGGCAACCTTTTGTTCTGGCTTTATCCCCAATCCCCTTTACTTATGGGAGAGAAAAGACTGGCCAGAGATGATAGCAAGTCAGGTGGTTAACTCAGAAGGTACAGTGAGCTGGTCTCCATGAAGCAGCTAGGAGTTCAGGGCACTAAGGTAATGGAGGAGGTTGAGTCAGGAGGAGGAAGGCAGTGACATTACTGAGCAGGACCATGGGAATAAAAGGAGAGAGGGCAGATAAGGAGCAGTCTGGGAAGTAGGGAGAAGTTTGGTAGGAGGTGGAGAAGAAAGCCAATTCACTGGAGGAGCTTTTAGATAGCAGAAAGGATATGTAGGGAAAAAGAGGAAGCCTTTCAAAAAATAAAATGGGTACAGGAATAATGAAGTTGTTTTCTTTCCTTTCCTTTTCTATCTGCTGTTCATCCCTATTCTACTCTCCAGAGAGGGAAGGGGAGAGAGAGAGAGAACCCTTAAGAAGTCAACAAGAATTTGGTATCTGTAGACAAATAAGAAATCAGAGCCAGATCAGCAAGAGTCAGACAAAAGTAAGACAAGGCTGGGATCTAATTCTGTAGAAGGCAACTTCATAGGGAATGGGCCCGCACTATAAACACACCTTCTCATGGGAAACTCAGGTGATGGGGTGGGCGACTTTTTAGTCCCAATGCCTAGCCCTGGCCTTGCAATCCTACAGAGAGAGCTAGTGGCCAGGTTTAACATTTATCTGGAGCAGAAATGAGAGAGAAAGAGAAACAGAGAGACAGAGACAAAGAGAAAGGGGTCCAGTAAAGAACCAGCTCTGCATATGGATTCCTGTCACCACCCTATCCTCTGCACAAACATGTTCTACCCACCTCCTGGCACAGCCACCCACTGGAAGCTCCTCCCTCTCAGTGCAAGCTGTCTACTCTTCTTTCAGAGAGACAGGCAAGCTATCAAACATGTTCTCAGCAAACATCATAAAGAAGATATCCATCCCATGGCTGTTCCAAAGACTGCCATCACCCCAGGCCCTGCTTCCCACTCCCAGTTCCTCAGGGTCCTCAACCTCATGGCACAATTCTACCTCGTGGCTCCTTGCCAGTTCAGTTGTGCCAGGCCTCTAGCTGCATTTGGTACCCTGTCACCCAGGTTCACTGGGTGACAGGTGCCCTATTTCAGCACCTTGGCAGGCAAGATGATCCTGTCTTCTAATGGAGAAGCAAGAAGTGGGTGTGGGTGTTCACATGGCGCATATGGCATGTGGCATGTGTGCTATGCTGTGCCTCTACTTCCTGATTCTAGCTATCTCTATCAGATACACCAGCCAATGCTGTCATGGACCCACCATCTCCACCCTCCAGTTGAATTCTCTGCTCTGGCTGGAGAAATGCATTCTGTTGGGAGGGCATGGAGGAGGTGGAATGGAGAAAGAGTAATGGGGAGGCCTTGCAGGCTCAAGACCCATTACCAACAAGCCCAGGAAGGGAAAAAAAACAGAGAAAGAACTAGAGAAAGAGGAGTAACTGCCTTTAGATTAAAACAAAACAAAACAAAAACAAGGGGCTGGGAAGGTGGCTCAGTGATAGAGCACTTGCCTTGCATGCTTGAGGCCCTGGGTTTGATTCCTCAGCACCACATAAGAAAAAAAAGAAAAAAGCCGGAAGTGGCGCTATGGCTCAAGTGGTAGAGCGCTAGCCTTGAGCTGAAGAGATGAGGGACAGCGCCAAGGCCCAGAGTTCAGGCCCCACTACTGGACCCAAAAAAAAAAATCAAAGGTCAACTGGGTGTTGGTATCTCATACTTGTAATCCTAGCTAGAAGAGGGGCTGAGATCTGAAGATTACAGTTTGAAATCAGCCCATACAGACATGTCTGAGAAGCTTGTATCTCCAATTAACCAGCAAAAAGTCACAAATGGAGATGTGGCTCATGTGGTAAGCCTTAGCCTTGAGGGGGAAAAAATGCAAAGCAAGAGCTCAAGGTCCTGATTTCAAGCCACAGTACCAGCACCAAAGCGGGGAGGGGTAGCTAGCGTGTCTCAGCATGTATCACCAATGGATCCCTTCACCTCTGTCCTGCACTCAGCCCCTTTTCCTTCCTTTTCAGCTCCCAGTGTAGTGCCCTTGTGGTAGAAGAGCCGTAGTCCTGAGAGGCAAGTGCCCACCTGCTGCTGCTATCCTCAGGCAGGGTCACCAGTGCCAGGGAGGAGGCAGTTGTGGGGCGCTGATGCCTACCCCTTCTGCAGAGCTGCCAGAGCTGGCGACGATATTTGTCCCCAGTAAACAGGTAGAGCACTGGATCCAGACAGCTATTAGCACTGGCCAGTGGCCGAGTCACTTTGTAGACCACGTTGACAATGTTCAACACGTGGCAGTCAGCTCCCAGCAGCCTTGCCAGATAATAAATGGTGCGGGTGATGTGGAAAGGTACGAAACACACAGCGAAGACTGTCAACACCACAATGATGGTCCTCAGAGAACGCAGACGAGAGGATGATTGAGCAGCCCCTGGCAAGGGCTGATACAGGCGCCGGGCCATGAGCCCATAGCACACCAGAGTCACCAGGCAGGGAAAGCCAAAGAGCAGACCCATGACTGCAGAGCTGAAATGTACATAGTGATCAAAGTCCTCAGGCCGAGTGGTGTCATGGCATAGGATGTTGGCCCCTCTGATGCTGGTTGTGACAAAGAACAAGTTGGGCACCAGACAGCCAGCTACCACCAACCAAACTGCCAGGCAGAGAAGTCTTGCAAAGCGAGGGCGGCCCCAGCGCAGTGATCGCAGTGGGTGGCAGATGCCCAGATATCTGTGTACGCTGATGCAGGTGAGAAACAGCACACTGCAATAGAGGTTCCAGTAGAAGAGGAAACGGATGAACTTGCAGAGCCCAGTGCCAAAGGGCCAGTGGTTGTGGGCTGCATAGTAGTAGACGAGAGTGGGCAGGGATAACACATACAATGTATCTGACAAGGCCAAATGGAACATATAAGTGGCTGTTGCATCCCAGGGGCGGAGGCGGAAGAGGAAGAGCCAGAGAGTTGGAGCATTGAGGCCCAGGCCTAGGATGAAGACAATGGCATAGCTCACGGGCAGCAGAATGAACTTGAAATCTTCGTTGAACCAGCAGTTCAGTTCTACCTCATCCTCTCCAGGATTTGGCTTGGAGCTTAAAGATGAGAACAGCAAGGGTTGGGTGCTGGTCATGGCCCTCTAGAGGGAGAAAGGATAGATATGAGGGTGACTGGGATTCCCTTGGTTCCTCCTAGGGCAAAAAAAAAAAAAAAAAGCAAAGGACAGAGAGAGCATTGGGTAGGCACTTTGAGCCAGAAGGAGCTCATTTGAGTGCAAGCTAGGCCCATCTAGACCCTACCTGAGCTCCCCTTGCTCCAGCCCCGGAAGTGATGGGTAGCAGGTAATGCTGGGGCTCAGACTGGCTGGCAGTGAGTTTTGGATGATCTCCTTCCGCAGATGACTCATCGGCTAGCTGAAGTGTATGGACACCGACCAACACCGTCCTAAGTGGGGAGATGCCCCAATTAAAGTCATCTCCTAACTCATTATCACAGCTCTGCCCCAAGTAACAAGGGGCCTCTCTCTCCCCCACAGTGCCTTCATCTCACCGTGCCCTGGTCCCTGTTCTCTGTCTTCTGTCTGCCTCTGACACTTTACCGACACTGCCTACCACCCAGGAGCCCCACCACCACCTTTACTCAAAAACCTTGGCACATCTCCTACCTGTCCCCTGGAAGCTCAGCCCAGATGACTGTCGCCCTTCCTCTTGGCAGCCAGAGGGCATATTGGAGGGGGTGGAGTTCTGGGTGGGGCCTGTCCCATCTCAGGAGATCGTCAGAACTAGCAAAGCCCTTGGAGATTATCTAGTCCAACCCACTCAGCATACAGATTGGAAAAGTGGAGCTCATGAGATTACTGTTTAACAGCTTCAAAATGATTATGGGAGGGAGTGCACAAGGAAACATCCAAGTTTACAGAGGAAGAACAGGGCCTCTGAATGCAACTTCATGACTGGAAGACTGTAAATGTGTATGAGTGAGCAGAACCATGGGAAGTGAATTGTAACATGGACCACTGTAAAATGATACACTGAACAATTTTTAAAAGCCTAAACTATTATATACAGCTTAACTCTATGTGCAAATGTTTATATAGACCTGTTTGTGTGTTGGTCACTGTTCTAGGGAATTTATATTTATTAATGACTCCACAGGCTCTCTGACCTTACTTTGCTGATGAAAAAAATAAAAGCACAAATAGTTTAAGTATTTTGCAGTAAGTGTGAAATCAATGCCTGAACCTTGACAAACCTGCCTTTGGGCCACACTCCAGCATCCATGGTTTACTTGGGATAATAACTTGCCCCTTATGACTTAAGGAAAGGATCAACCAATATTTACTGGAGCCAGTTCTAGGTGTGAACATTACCAGATTTTAACTCCTAACTTATGTATGATTATTGTTATAGAAAAATTAAAATGGCAAAAGATATAAAGAAGGATAGGGAGATGCAAGAATTGCATTTTTAAATATTTGAGTGACTTGACTAAAGAAAAGTTTGGTCAGGAAGGGAAAGGTCTCCAATAGGAGCAGAGATTATATTATGAAATTCCTTGGAGGCCATTGCAAGAACCGGCTTGACTATGATAGAAAGCTACTGAGGGTTTACAGGACAGTTTTTCAGTCTGATTTACAATGTGGGAGGCTCACAGGACAGCTCTACAGTGAGAATAGACAGACTATAGAGCTGGTGGCACAGGGAAGACCAGGAAAGAGGCTGTTGCCAATAGAAGATGATGGTAACTAGAACCAAGGTGGTGAGAAGTGGTCAGATTCTGGATAGATTTTGAAAAATGAGACAAAATTTACTTGATATGAGCTGTCTGAAAAGAGAAGGTGCAGATATGGTTCAAGTGATAGAGTGCCAACCTTAAGTGAAAAAGTTAAAGGAGAGCACAAGGCCTAAATTCAAGCCCCATTACCAACACACACACACACACACACACACACACACACACACACACACACACACACACAGAATGACTTTAAATTGGGCCTAGTGGTGTATGCCTACAAGCCTAGCACTCAGGAGGCTGAGTCAGGAAAATCACAAATTCAAAGCCCACCTGAGCTACATATTGACACAACTCCAAAGTAGTATCTGGCCTAAGCAACTAGAAAAATGGATATCCTATGCAAAGTTATGAGGAAGACTGTGAAAGTATATTTGTGAAAAGATGAAGTTCATTTGTAGTATATATTTAGGGGAAGGAGATGGAATTAATATTTGAATTCAAGGCCTCAATGTTGCTAGGCAGAGGCTCTATCACTTGAGCCACACCCACCCTTTTTTGCTTTAGTTTTTGTTTTGTCAGTTGTGAGGCTTGAACTCTGGGCCTGGGCACTGTCCCTGAGCTTTTCAGCTCAAGGCAAGTACTCTATCATTTGAGCCAGAACGCTACTCCCAGTTTTCTGGTAGTTAATGGGAGAGAAGAGTTTCATGGACTTTCCTGCCCAGGCTGGCTTTGGACCGTGATTTTCAGATCTTAGGCTCCTGAATAGCTAGGATTATAGGCATGAGCCACCTGTGCCTGGCTAGTTATTTGTTTTTAACAGGATCTCATGCTTTTACCCAGGGTAGGCTTCAGAGGATTATTACCTTACGTAAATTTTGTGTCTATATAATTGGGATTATAGGTATAAACTACCATGTCCAGCTTATTTTTTGAGCTAAGAGTAAATTTTTCCCTCCTCAGCCTGGCCTCCAACTCTACCTCCTAAGTAGCTAAGATTACAGGTGTGAGCCACTGTACCCAGCCAGCGAATGAATTTTGAAATACTTATGACACATGCAAGAGGAGATGTCAGGATGTAATTCACACCTCCCTACAAATATCACCAATAAGCTTTCCTTGCACATACCATCTTTTCCTACACAATATCTCACATGTCTTCATTTTTCAGGAAACACTAGTCTGAATACAGTTGAGAAGATACATAGGACAATCCTTAATCTTTGAGATTGTAATACCAGGGAACATCAAAGTGTCACCTGCTGTAGTTCTGAGGCTCCCACAGCTAACTGTGGCTTCCTAACTGTGGTGGTATCAGATGTGTAAGGCAAACTGAGTTTGGAGGATTGTGGGGATGAGGGTGGGCAGTGCTTCTAGGGGAAGGTGAGAAGGATGGAGCATAATCCACTGTTGGTAGAGCTGAGAAATCATAAGGATTTGGAAGGTGTTATCCATCTGCATGCCAGGAGGGAGAGAAGGAAGCAGTCCTGCAGAATGACTCTAGAATCTAGGATCTAGATCTCTTGGAAAGTTTAGAATCCTTATTGGAGGAAAGATAGAGATCCAGATAGGGAGTGGGTGATATAAAGTGAAGAATGGACTCCTAAAGTCCATAAGCTGAGTCCTGGACATCTGGCTTCTGAGATGTTACATTCAAAGGTATTTGGGAGGCAAATGGACTTGATTTCAAATCCTTGTCTTTCTACTTATTAGTTGTGTGACCTCAGTTGCCTCTTTGTAACAAGTAAGATTGAGATAGCAATGTCAGTCTTTTAGATGGCTTTGAAGATGAATTGGTCAGTAGATGTGGAAAATACTTCAAGTCATAAAATGCTGCAAAGCTAGCAAGGCACCTGTGGCTCACACCTGAAATCCTAGCTTCTCAGGAGGCTGAGATCTGAGCACCTTTCCAACCCAATCAAGCAATAATCTCCAAGTAACCAACAAAAAAGCTGGAAGTGAGCTGTGACTCAAGTTGTAGAATGTTAACCTTGAGTGTAAAAGCCAAGGGACAGCGCCCAGACATAGTTCAAAACCAATGGTGTGCATGTGAGCACAGAGAGAGAAGAGAGACAGAGAGAGAGAGAGAGACAGACAGACAAAGAGACAGAGAGACACAGAGAGAGAGAGAGAGACAGAGAAAGCTATCAGTCTTTTTTTTTTGCCAGTCCTGGGGCTTGAACTCAGGGCCTGGGCACTGTCCCTGAGTTTTTTGCTCAAGGCTAGCACTCTCCCACTTGAGCCAAAGAGCAACTTCCAGCTTTTTCTGTTTATGTGGTACTGAGGAATTGAACCCAGGGCTTCATGAATGCTAGGCAACCACTCTACCACTAAGCCACATTCCCAGCACCATACCATACTATTTTAAAATAGTAATTATTTCTAGAGATGAACCAGGCCTCTTCCAGGAGGTCACGTGTGACATTAGGCTTCACACTAGAGAAATCCAGTCCTGAGCTGGCCTCTTGTTCTGATCCTACTGCTTCAAGCTGACATAGGTTTGCTAAGGTTCACCAAAGCTACCTCTGTGAAATTTCAGCTCAACCCTGGACACAACTGCAACTGCCGCTGCTGCCACTGCCATCTAGTGACCACTTCAGGAAAAGACCTCGCCAACATTCTACACTGTCGTTTCCACTCTCCTCCCCCAGGCTAAAAGGAAGGAATAACTGCAGATTGATGTCACTCTCTTCTTGCAAATTCTTACTCCCTTGGGTTTCTGTGACTTTGAATTACTCAATGACTCCAGTTCCTCTTGACGTTCTTTCTGATTCCTTCCTGTTTTGTCCCCCCCCCACCCCACCCACATAAAATGTAGCTGTTCTCCCAAGGAATTTCTCTTCTTCCTTTCTTCTCCTTCTCTTCTCCATCATTTCTCTACTCTCTCTCCCCTCTCTTCACCTCTTCTCAGAAAACTCGCTCTCATGATGTCAACTTTCACTTAGATATTATCAACAATTCTTTCTCTGTTTCTTGGGGGTTGTTTTGGTGATACTAAGTCTTGAACTCAGGGTCTTATGCTTGCTAGACAGGCTTTGTAACATTGAATCACATTTTAACCCCCATCTCTTTTGTACCTATTTTGAGATAAGATTTTGCTTTTTGCCTTGGCTTACTCCTAGACCTCAATCCTCTAATTTTATACTTCCTGCTATATCTGGAATGGCAGGTGCATTCCACCACGCCCAGCTTTGTCCATCAGATGGAATCTCTCAATTTCTCTTTTTTTTCCTGAGCTGGCCTGAAACTGAAGTCAGCCTCTTATGATGATGAGAGATTATAGGCTAGATGATAGACAACTACCATCATGCACAGCTATTAGTTGAGAAGAATTTTTGTGAATATCTTCCCAGGCTTGCCTTGAACCTCCAGCCTCCCAAGTTTAGCTTCCTGATAATT